CATGCTGCTATGCCAACAACTGAAATGGATAAAAAATTTAAATTATAAAAAAAATAGTGGTGTATGGCATCGGTGCCTTAAGGCAAATTGCTGGAACTTTCCGTACGGTAATGAAATATTCAAGAAATTTTAAACGTTTTCAAATATATATTCATTATAAATATTGTAATACTACTTTAATTATTTTTGCTATCTTGTTATATCTGACAAATCAAATGTAAATCATAAATCATAAATCAATTTATCTCCAGAACATTAACAATCGTCATTTCATTTCGAATTCAATTTCAAAAATAATTTATAGTTGCCTAATTTTACACAAATTGAAAAAGTGCTCCCGTATAGTCACAGTCTAAACGCATTTGCAAATAATTCTGTGCGACATTTTCACTTATACTGTGCATAGCTTAGCGCCATTTTCACATTTTTCAATAGTTTTGTTTTCTTTTGCACAAAATTGGAAAAGTGCTCCAGTACATAAACAGTCTAAACGCACTTGGGTAACATTTGTACCAGAGTGGTGCTTAGACTGTGCTTAGCCTGGGTAATTTTTTCAATTTCTGATCCAAAATTACAAAAATATTTTATGAAAAATAAAATAAAATGTAATAATTTTTTTTCCTCAAAAGCAATTGTTCTGTCAATACAAACAGAAAGTTTTTTATATCATTCAAATCGGACGCTCAGTTCACTCAAAAACTGCAATTTGTTTGCACATTTAGCTCTGTATCTTCGAAGTGGCTGGGCCTGCCTTTGCCAAAAACTAGTCACCTCTTCTCCCAATCATTACAAATGCTTTTTAGATCATTCAAATCCGATACTCCGTTCGACTAAAACTAAATAAGAAATCAATATATTAATTTGTTGTGGGTTTTACGTAAGTTCACAAGCTGCTGTAGGTAGAATGTTATAATGTGAGAAAAAAATATGACTATAGAAAGCTTTTAACCCGAAAAAACGATCTGCCCGATCTTTACCAAAAACTAGTCCCATCTGATATCTTTCGAACAGTTTTTACATTTTAAAAACCGGTTCTGGAGTTTTGGCAAAATCATTGATGAAACATTTTGCACTTTCATAATAAAATGACTTGACTGACCGTCGCGTTTACCTTATTGAGTTAAATTTTTGAAATCGGTGCATCACTTTTTGGGAAAAATCAGATTTTGGAGAGAACATAAAATCAACAAATCAGTTTTTTAACTTCCCGTAGGGCAAGTTATAGTAATCGTAAAAAAATCGAAAATGAAAATTTTTATATATCTTTACGTTTCAAAGGATTCTGAATATTTTGGCATACCTTAGAAAAAATGGATGAATGTGTGTGTGTGTGTGTGTGCGTGTGTGTGTGCGGATACAAATTTTCGTCGACGATTTCGGGAACACCGATCAACCGATTTGAATAATTCAAAAACATTCGATTCGCATTGATAATGAGACGTGCTGATTAGTTTTTGGCGAAGGCAGGTCTATCTGTTCCGAAGATACGGAGCACAAGTGCCAAAAACGGTAACTAAGTTTTTAAGAAAACGGAGCGTCCGATTTTAATAATTCAAAAAACATTTTACTTGTATTAACAAGACGAAAAACTGATCAAATTTTCATGAAGGCAGGTCTAACGGTTTCAGAGACCTAGTAAAAAAAGTAAAAAAAAATGTCATTTGGCAGTCAAAAATGATCATTAGACATATGCACATCAAATTATCAGATATTTTATAGAGATTTTAACAATAAGTATAAATTTTGTTTACATTCCTATGGGCTACGTACCAATGTTTATCCATTAGACGGCGACGCGGCGCTTACGCGTTTCGATATTTTGTCTCTATGCAGTTAGAGCAGTACGATTGCTTTGAAAAAAAGTTCAGAATTTCCAAAATATTTCAATATAAATTTTTCTTCAAAAAGTCTTTTTTTTCAAATAAAAGTAAATTTTTGTCAAAAATTTATAGTTTCTCAAAAATCTAATTTTTTAGAGTAATTTTTTTTCAAAAATGTTAAGCTTTTAAAAAAAAAAATTTTTGGTGCGGGAAGTTCCAGCAATTTGCCTTAAGGCTCGATGCCATGCGCCCCACTAGTTTGTTGAAGGCATAAAGATCACCTTCGGCAAGTTAATATTAATGATGTCATGGTAAAGGGTGCTTTATGTTCTAGAATTTATTAAGTAAATAAATTAACTCACCAATTGCAAGAATTCCTATCACAGCTTTGTACACATGGCGAATTTTCAATGGTGACAATTTTCTTTCATAATTGTATTGCTGTGTTTTCTTTCTCGCCTCTTCAAGGATCCTGTTCATATCCATTTGTAAAAATTCACAAGTGCAATTAAAAACTAGGAATTAACAACTGTATTATTTGTAAAATTACCAGGCCGTATTAACTTGTTTCATGAAATTTCCAGTCGTTCTGATGGCGGAATTGATATCTGTGAATAACGAGGAGTAATGAAGGAGCTGATGAAGACTTTACGTCGAAGACACATTTGCTTCAAACTGATAAATTTTCCTGGTGAAGTTATGGCTGAAATAACGCACATACAGTTATAATTAAGGGGCACAACTAGTGTAACCGCCTAAAAAAAGTGATTTTTGGGATTTTATTAAAAAAATACTTTATCAACATTTCAAAATTTTAAGAATATATTTACACATATTTCAAGAATACATAGTAAAATTTTTGAAGAAAAAATTAAATATTTTTTAAGTTACCATCGATCTCCACGGCGCGAAAAAAAGGCCCTTCACTGCTGCAGTGATTCCGGCCTTCTACGTGGATGAAATTTAAAAAAAAAATTCTCGTTAAACTAGATACTATTGTCTGTAAAATGACCTACGATAAAAAAAAATAATTAAAATTGATAAAATGGCGGCGTTTTTTTTAAAAAAAAGGCGAATTTTAACCAAAATTTTGGTCGTTTTTGGACTGCCAAAATTCGATTTTTAAGCCGATCAAAACATCGATAGTTCATTTTACGGAACTGAGAACTATATATTGAACATGTAAAAAAAAAAATTCGATAGCGATCGGATCATTTGTTTTTGAGTAATCGCTGCAGCAAATTCGAAAAATGCTGTTTCGAGAAAAACGCATTTGAAGATAAAATAATTGTTATACTATACATACTATATATATATATATATATATATATATATATATATATATTTATTTAAAAGAGTATATACGATATGATACTATATATATACTCTTTTAAGGATGTAACTCAAAACATTTGAGATATCGATTTGAAATTTTAATATGTTATTTTTGAAGGTGTAATCTACCGAAATATGAAAAAAAAACAAAAATCGATTTTTTTGCAATTTCACCCTAGTTGTGCCCTTTAACATATGCAGCCAAAGAAAATATATCCAAGGAACTGATAGTTTTCCACATTCATAAGGTAAGTTATGATCTAGATTCTAGACTTAGAATATGAACATCTTATTATAAATGTCTAAAAGAAATGAATATTCATGAGTTGTAACCAGGTGCAAATAGCTGATTTGGAGCTTAATTAATCATCCCTGATAAAATTTGGTTGAAACATCAGTCAGTTTTAATTTGATTTATCCATTTTACATGCTAAAATCCTAGCACTCATCTTAAATATATTTTAACATCTTGCAGACTAATTGATTTCAATTTATGAACTTCTGGTCATTTGGTATAATTACCAAATATATGTTTAAATGGGCGTAGTTCTAGATGACTAAAACAATTTGATTTCAATTAGTTGAAATATTAAATATGTGTATTTATACAAATTAAATAAAATTTAGTGGTAATTTAAAGTACTGGCTACATCCATCAATATATTTGACTGTTAGCATCCTTTGGTCTAAATTATTGAAACCATAAGAAAGTTATTATTGAAATTTTAAATTTTATGACATTCTCAGAAATTTAATGTAACTGCTCAATCCTATATATAATTCAAATCCTATTGAAGGAAGTTGGTTTAAACATCTCATTGTTGTCCAAACATGTCTAATAATTTTGACAAATACATATTTATAAAATTATAATAATTAAATAATAATTTAAAAACCAACTTTAACGTTAATATTACCAACTCATATAGAACTTTTAATACACATATGCATACATTTTTTCAAAAAAAAGAGACTCTTATTAGATTCTTGTTCTTATTACCCAAATTCTTATAAGACTCCTGTTAGAAACTTGTGTTCAGCACTCTAAGAATTTAAAAATTCAATATTGTTTTTTTATTAATTTTAAAATTTTATATTCACTATATGGATTATTTTTTATTGCTATTTTTGTAAGCAATTTATTCATAAAATAGTCGCTGTTCATATTATTTTTCTTGGAGCAATTTCGGCGGTAATTTTTTTCTTTACCAGATCGTCACTTTTATCACCTTCCTATCATTATGCGCATTTATCGCTTCTTTTTTATTCAACAATCAATTCCAGGAAAATCGTAGTGTAAACAATGTTCTGCCCTATTTGCAAAAACTGATAATCGATAAATCAACAATATCAATACATTCTTAAACGTATATTAGATTTTATTAGAAAAATATTTACAATTACAATTACATTAACGGAAATAATTTATTTTTATATTATTCATAACTGTTTTTTTGATCTTGACTTGAACTGATACTATGTGGTTAAAGTTATAAATAAATTTATGGATTTAAAAGTCTTGTTCGTTTTTCAAAATGACTACTTGACTTTCTTCTTTTCCTTGTTCTTTCTCTCCTCCTTGGCTTTCCTTTTTTCTTCACGCATTCTGTCTTTGTACGTCAGAGATTTGTATAATTTATTTGCAAAAAATGCTGAAAAAAATAAAAATCATTAATAAAATTAATTATTTAAATTTTATATTTTATTTAAAATAATTTTTTTATTTTAGTCTCGTTTCTTATACTATAATACTTTAAAATCTTATGCTAAATAGCGATATCAGTACCAAATCCAAGGACCTGGTCCTCCAAAATTATAATTAAATTTTGGAGCACTACATCAAGTAGAGAAAATAAGACATCAAGTAAAGAAAATAAGATTTTAAAACTTTTTTTGTTTAAAAATCCAGATGTTTCGACACACAATTTTATGTCATTATCAGTGAATATGCAATTTGGAAAAAAGGTACGAAACCACTGTGAAACTAAAGTTTCTTTGTAATTTTTATTTTTTTACCTGATTTTATGCCTTTCGAGATTTTATTTCTTTATTTCTTTATTCTATTATGTACTATTTATGAAATAAATAGTAGTTTACCCGAAGGCAGGTTCATGGTGTGAGAGCACCACAAATCAATAATTCCCTTTCTCTATCTTGTTTATTATTGTGATTTTTATAATATAATAAAAATTTAATAAATTTGCAAACAATTATTAAATATACTGAAGATGAGCAGAATCATTTTTCCAATGTTAATGTAAAACCAATGTAATTAACTTCCCGTAGGGCAAGTTATAGTAATCGCAAAAAAATCGAAAATGAAAATTTTTATATATCTTTACGTTTCAGAGGTTTCTGAACATTTTGGCATACCTTAGAAAAAATGGATGTATGTGTGTGTGTGTGTGTGTGTGTGTATGTGTGTGTGTGTGTATGTATGTATGTATGTGTGTGTATGTATGTGCGGATACAAATTTTCGTCGACGATTTCGGGAACAAGAATCAACCGATTTGAATAATTCAAAAAACATTCGATCCGTATTGATAAGGAGACGTGCTGATTAGTTTTTGGCAAAGGCAGGTCAAGCCGTTCCGAAGATACGGGGCAAAAGTTCCGAAAACGGTAACTCAGTTTTTAAAGAGAACGGAGCGTCCGATTTCAATAATTCAAAAAAAAACATTTTATTTGTATTGACAAGATGAGAATCGATACAACTTTCATGAAGGTAGGTCCAGCGGTTTCGGAGATATAGAGGAAAAAGTAAAAAAATGAGCCATTTGGCGGTCAAAAATGATCATTAGACATATGCCACATCAAATTATCAGACATTTTATAGAGATTTAACAATAAGTATACATTTTGTTAACATTCATTCCTATCGGTTCCGTACCAATGCTTATGCGTTTAGACAGCGACGCGGCGCTTACGCGCTTTATATTTTGTCCCTAGTAGTTGAAGCAGTACGATTGCTTTGAAAAAAAGTTCAGATCTTCCACAATATGTCAAAATAAAGAAAAAAAATTTTTATTTCAAAAAAAAAAAAAATTTAAAAAAAAAATTTTTTTTAAAAAATTTTTTTTTTTTCAAAAAAAACTAATTTTTTGTCCAATTTATAGTTTCTCAAAAATCTTATTTTTTCATAGTAATTTTTTTTCAAAAATGTTAATCGTTTTAAAAAAAAAAATAATTTTTGGTACGGGAAGTTCCAGCAATTTGCCTTAAGGCACGATGCCCTAATTGCCTTAAGACAGAATTCCACTTACAGCTAGTTTAAAATTGTAACTATTCTAGCAAACGTTTCGTTGCAAATTTGTGCCATCTTCAGTGCGATAGATCCAATGAAAATCATTATTATTTTCAACTATGAAAAATTATGAATAGACGATATTGAATTTTTAAATGAGCAAATGTTAGCTTTTCTAACTTCCCTAAGAGAAGTTGACGTTTTTTTCAGAAAATCCAATTGGCAACTTCATCTATTCTCGACGTTTCAAGTCGTTCTGAATCGTTTGAGACCGGAATTGTAAAAAGTGTGTGTGTGAATCAAAATTTTTCATTTGTCAACGCTTTTTGAAAACATCTGCATCAATATTCAAATATTCGAAATCCATTTAATGGAACTCGATACGAAACTTGTGTTCACAAGTTTTGGACGAAGATGGGCCAAACCCTTTCTTTATATTTAGCCCATGAATGCAAATTTTTTTGCAAGAGTTTTCACTAAAAACACTAAACTGTTTTTAAAATTTTTTAAATCGTTCGAAATATATTAGTTGAGAATTGTGCTGATTAGTTCTTGGTAAATATCGGTCGGGCCCGTTTCTTTGATTTTGCTGGAACTTCACTCGTGGATACAATTCATAATTTTAATGAACATCTTAAATATTATAGGCCTACGGAAAAGTGGTTTTAATTATAAAAAATCATCAACATTTGAATAATGGGTGAGATTTCAACACATAGCGTTGTTATGGCAAAGCTATCTTATCCTTTTTCTTGATACTAAAAACCGTAAAATTCTATAACTTTGCTGTGGGTCAGGCGTATTTTACATATAAACAAACCTAGAAAGAATGTTATCATAACAGCATCTTTGTGAAAAACGACTGATATATAGTAAACGGATAGCATTTTTACAGTTTTTGGTACCAGAAAAGAAGGATGAGATAGCGTTGCCATGGCAACGCTATGTTATCGTCTAAGTTACCGCAGAATTGGCTGCTTATAGAGAAGTTCATACAACTTGCCTTTAGACTTTACACTTTAGAAAAGTATTTTAATACGCAATATTACAAACCTAACAATCCCGCAATCAACAGCAAACACACGAAAAAGAGCGCGTAACTTTGAAAAATCGACATTCTGACTTGCGACACCAAATCGCCTTCGACTTCCTTAAATTTCTCTCTCAGTTGCGATTTTATTTTATCTTTTATAACTTTTTTCTCTTCGCCGTCTAATTGGTAGAATTTTTCCATTAAATCTTTTAATTTTTGTGTAATATTTGAGGCTAGTTCTTTGCCTTCGTCGGATGCTAAAAGTTTTGCGATTCCTTCAATTGTTTTGACGAATTTATTTTCCTCATCATCATCGATGAATTGTTCGAGAAGTTCCTTTTCGTCAGCCATAGTAAAAATACACGATTTATTTCAAACTATTATTATTAGAATCGGTTTTGATCACAAATTTGACAACTCAAATCATACAAAACAACTACACACTTAGTAATCGAATTATTATTTTGTTTATTAACTATTATTTTATTTTTGTACGGTTGTAGAGTATATTTAATGTGTTTTTAATTCAAGTATGACTTTTGTACTAATCCAAAAGACTTTGATTGATTAGGTAATAAAAAATTCTGAATAGATTTTTTATTGTATAGATTGTGTTCTTATCAACGATAACACGTATCAATTGGTTGTTTTGTGATAAATTATTTATAACTATATTACATGATGTAATATCTAATGTTTAAAATCACAGAAACATACAATTTTTATTATAGACTAGCTGACTCGGCAAACGTTGTTTGCTAAGAAAGGTATATTCTAAACAATTTTTCGAGAATCAAAAAAATTCATACTTTAAGTGTATAAGGATGTGTTGTGTGAATGCTATATACAATGAGATATTATAAAAACAATAAACCCCTATATTTTGTCAATACAATCAAACTGGAAGTTTTATACTTTTTTAAAAGTTTCAAGTAACATTCGATGAATTACAGTGAATTTAATTGAAAGTATATGTGTAGAGCAGGGCGTGGCACAAAGGTCCAATTTGACTTTGAACAAATATAAACTATATTGTGAAAACCAAAACAATTAAATCACATCAAATAACACATTTCAAACGAACAATTATCTGACTACGTTCAGTAAATTTGCTAACTACTTTATTATTGTAGAAATGTGTTTTTTATGTCTTTCAAAAATTCGTTATCTAGACTTTTTTACCCTATAGGCGGGGTAACTTGGAACGGCCAGGTGGCAAACAGGTTTAATGTCTTATTTTAATTTTAAAGGTATATTACAAAATAATTACTCATGCTAAAAAACTACCAACGGAAAAAAGTACTTTTATTATGGATTTCAAAGTTGACCGTTTATCCCCCGATAGCAAAGCCATAAGAATTAAGACTATAGCTGGTTATACATCTTTTTCCCTCTACTTTCAAATATTGTTGTTAAACAATGCCTTACTTTACTAGTTTTTGACACATCGGTGGTGGACCTTTTTAACACCGGACCTTCATATATTACTAGCTATTCTTTGATAAATTCTGGATAATTATAACTGGGAATATGTGTTTGTTCAAATTGTCTCTTTGATTGATACCAAATTTAGGTTCTGAATTTAAATAACATAAATAAAAATTAATATAACCTAGAACATGTTTTATAAATACCAATGAGTATATAATTATACGAATAAGATCTTTCAGAGCACCGTGTTTAAGTAAAATATGATTTTCAATTTATTCATAATTAAATAATATTCACGTACAATATCCTATTAAACGAAATTGAACATCATCTGTCAAAAACGTTTGACATTTGACGTATTAGCCGCCGTTCATTGTTTTATTTAAATTACGCTTCTACAAAAATGTTCCAATTAAAAATGTAAAGTTTCTACGCGATTTTGAAATAATATCTCACCTTTCCGATAGCTTACTGATTAGCACAATTTTTTCAAGAGTAAGACTGGCCAAATCGGTTTAGCCGTTTTCGAGTTTTAGCGGATCATTTTATCGAGAGCTCTATTTTTATATATAAGATAATTATTACAAAAACAAATGTGCTTAAACATTGTTCTATATCCAGGGGCGTAACTACCGCCGTATCAGCCGTATCAATGATACGGGGCCCCCGGGCCCAGGGGGCCCCCAACGGGCGTTAACAGAAATTGAGAAAAACTTTTTATTTATTTCACAAACGACAAAGTCAAAAAATCAATTTATTATTATTGTCGGGACAACCTACATCGGTTGACAAGCGACGAACGAACAGCAGGGATTTCTTTTAATAAGTAATATTTTTTACAACTGACCCAAAATGGACAAGAAGTACAACATTTGGTACAGAACTAAAGACGTTAGAAAAAATACAATCATATGATAATTGCCAGAGTTAGTCGAAGGTTTTATATATTGAAAGTGTTTTGGTTTAGTGGTGATTTGTGGAAAAGTGTTAGTGGTGATTTAAAGAAAACTAGCTGTAAGTGGAATTCTGTCTTAAGGCAATTAGGGCATCGTGCCTTAAGGCAAATTGCTGGAACTTCCCGTACCAAAAATTATTATTTTTTTTAAAAACGATTAACATTTTTGAAAAAAATTTACTTCGAAGAAATAAGATTTTTGAGAAACTATAAATTGGACAAAAAATTACTTTTTCTTGAAAAAAAATTGAAAAAATGACATATTTTGGAAGATCTGAACTTGTTTTTCAAAGCAATCGTACTGCTTTAACTGCATAGAGACAAAATATAAAGCGCGTAAGCGCGGCGTCGCTGTCTAACGGGTAAACATTGGTACGGAACCCATAGGAAAATAAACAAAATTTATACTTATTGTTAAAATCTCTATAAAATATCTGAAAATTTGATGTGCATATGTCTAATGATCATTTTTGACCGCCAAATGGCATTTTTTTTTACTTTTTTCGTTATATCTCCAAAACCGCTGGACCTGTCTTTATGAAAATTTGATCAATTCTTTATCTTGTCAATACAAGTAAAATGTTTTTTGAATTATTAAAATCGGACGCTCCGTTCTCTTAAAAACTGAGTTACCGTTTTCGGCACTTTTTGCCCCGTATCTCCGGAACGGCTAGACCTGCCTTCGCCAAAAACTAATCAGCACGTCTCTTTATCAATACGAATCGAATGTTTTTTAAATTATTCAAATCGGTTGATCCGTGTTCCCGAAATCGTCGACGAAAATTTGTATCCGCACATACATACACACACGCACACACACACACACACACACACACACACATACATCCATTTTTTCTAAGGTATGCCAAAATGTTCAGAAACCTCTGAAACGTAAAGATATATAAAAATTTTCATTTTCGATTTTTTTGCGATTACTATAACTTACCCTACGGGAAGTTAACAATGAGTGAAAAGAAAAGAGATTACGTCAGCGGAGCTATGAAACGAAAAATTGAACAGAAAAAAGATGAAGTCATAAAAAAAGTGCCAAAAATTTCTTAAATCGAAAAATATACACTTTTTTGGCAATAGCATACAACGCTGGTCAATGCTAATCAAGATTCTTCCGAGGAATATTTAGTATTTTTAAAAACAAGAGGCGGAAGATAACAAAGCGATTTTCGATGAGTTATCACAAGACGAGAGAATTTTACACCCTGAATCATATTTTAAAGTAAACGTGTACTATTGCTGTTTAGATATTTTAATTTCTCAAACAAAACAAAGGTTCAGAATATTGCAATCGGAAAAACTCATGCCTTCTTCAAATGAAGAAATAATAATTGCTTCCAAAAAACTGACGTCAAAATACTGCAAAGATCTATCAGGTAATCTTTGCGATCAATTGATAGCTCTAAAAACATGCTTAAACTCAGAAATCGAAAATATTCATGCCATTAAGGAACTCTCTAAATTATTATTAATAAAATTTAATAGTATTGCATCCAGTTTTCCGGATGTAATAACAGCTTGCATTTTATTCGTGACCCTTCAAGTTACAACCGAAACTGCTGAAAGGAGTTTTTCAAAATTAAAATTAATCAAAAATTACCTCAGAACATCAATAAAACAGGAACGTTTATCAGACCTGTCTCTATGGTCTATAGAGGCAGAAACATTAGAAAAACTAAAAACATCATCAGCTATAAATGACTTAATAAATCAGTTTGCTGATAAAAAGGCAATGAGAGTGAATATTTAATTTTAGTTACTTGTAAAATATTAAAAATAATATTCGATGTATATTTGAAAATTTGATAAATAAATGTTCTTTTAATTTTATTAAATGAATTTATTAATCTTTTTATGTTTCTTTGATTTATGAAAACTCTTTAGGGGGGCCCCCAAACCGATTTTGATATGGGGCCCCGCCAAGGCACTTTACGCCCCTGTCTATATCTATCTATTCTCCTTACCGAAAACTGATACTATAATCGCCACCATGGCCAACATGAACAAGACTTGTTGGAATGTGACCCCAGTAGCCCCCGTGGGGTCCTGAGAAGCAGCCCTATTTGCCTGTTGAAGCAAAGAATCCCTCAGGCTCTGTTTGTCTTCCTCGGACATGTCCATTCCTTCTAACATTTTTAATAATTCTTCACCACTTGGCAAAGGTTGTCCATCTTGGCCGAATTTTAGTGCTTCGTCAGCCATCTGGGGAAAAAATCGATATAGACAATAGATATGGGATAGTAGATAATAGAAACTAATTTTATTAATGGAGCTAAAGATAAGTTCATTAACCTTAAAAGCAGTTTTAAAGTTCATTATTCAAATAGGAAAATAAGATGCTGCTGAGAGGCAAAATGACTCTTAACATAAGGGAAAAGGGACTCCAACATAAGGGAAAAGGACTCCACCAACAAGCAAACTGAGTCTCGTCCTGGGCAAAAAACCTGTAAAATACTACATTTGTATCTTATGGATCAGAAACAAAAAGTTTATACATCTCGCCTTTAGTCTTTAGACTTTAGAATAGTATTTTCCAATGGACTCTAAGAAAAGCCAACAAAAATTAGCTACAGGTGAAGTTGACCAACAATGTTATAACTGAAAAAAATTATCTTTACCCTAGTTTTAAGTATAGAGTAAATATATTTATTGTTTATAATTAATAAAAAAAATTCAAATTTTTTTACAAAAATTTTGATAATATGCATATACTCAATATTTACTAACTACAGTTAACAATTTTCTTATAGGATCCTTGGTGGAAACCATAATTACATCTTCCCGGAATCAAAAAATATTGGTAAAAATTGGATAAAAAAGTTGGAAGGACCAGGATAAAAATGATAAAAAATATAATATAATGTAATAATATAATATAATATAATGATATAACAATACAATTCACAAGGTAAATAATTACCGAAGAATAAATTTGTGCAATATAATAGCAAATTTTAATATTGGAGAAAAAAGTAATAAAGGTGTAAATAGAAGGTGAGTGAATAATAATAATATTAATAATTTAACAACTAACTGTGGCAGTTTAAAATTTATAAAGACTGTTCGAATGCCATTTTATAATAAATAAATATTTGGCCATGAAGTTTTATCTACAACAAAACTATTTCTATAATTATAGATTTAATTGCTTCAGTAATGAGTCTATAGATTACAAAAGTATTTGCGAATATTTTATATGAAATTAATTTTGTAAAATTAATTGCACCTATTAAAATTATTTTACAAACAAAAACTATTACAAAATTATCTGAATTTCATAAAATTAATTTACTAACAAAAATAATCTAATATAATTGTGTAAAAACTGTAAAATTTGTTTATAAAATACACTGTTAATTATAAAGTTATTTTATGAATAATAACTTTTATGAAATAATTAGGAATCCAAACAATTATTTTAAAAACAACAAATTAATCTAGAATTCATAAAATGCAATGTTTAAATATTTGAAACAAATAGAGTGTGTAAAATATGTTATAAATATAAAAAATGTGGAATAAATATTCTTGCAATTTATATAGACCAGAACAAATAGCAATAATTTGAATAAAAATTTAATTTTGTTAAACAAATTAATTATTGGAATTATTTTTGGACTTTTATAACATAAATTTCAGTTAACAAAATAATAAATATTTTCAATATACTCTTAAGAATGACCTCCAGTTAAAAATTTAAACATATAATATTGTTCATAATGAAATTAATTTTAAAATGAAAAACGAATAAACATGTAAAAAATTATCAGTTTTGATCATTGATATAATAATACTAATAAAATTAAATTAAATTTGAAATGTAAAACAACAAACAAAACCATCAGTTTTGGAAAATGTTTATGATTAAATTATTTAAAATTTAAAATTAAATAATAAATTACATTTGAAATATAAAAAGTATTCTCATATCTGATAATTGTTTAAAATAATATTCAGAATATAATTAAACTTAAAATGTGAAAAGTATGATAATTGTTTATAATAATATTTGGTATTTAATTAAAGTTAAATGTAAAACGTACTATCAGTTTTCGTAATTGTTTATAATTAAATTATGGGAAATATAAAATTAAATGATAAATTAATTTGAAATATAAAAAGTACTACAGTTCTGATAATTGTTTATAATAATTTTATTTAAATTTAAATTAAATTTGAAATGTAAAACGTACTATCAGTTCTGATAATTGTTTATAATTAGATTAAATGTTCTGAAAAATGGTTATAATATTATTAAATAAATTTGAAATGTAAAACTTACTATCAGTTCTAATAATAATTGTTTAAAATAAAAATATTTGAAAAGTATTACAATTTTTAATTAATTATTTTAATCAGAAATACTAGTGTATTTCAAGGAAAAAAATAATATGTTATAATAAAATAAATTTTGAAAAATTAATAAAAAAAAGTATTTCTGATAATATGAAATAATTAGTACTGATAATTATTTATAATAATATTATTTCAAATAAAATAAAATTTCAAATATGAAACGTACCTATTATCATGCAATACTGATAATGACATGTGTAGCAAATTGACCACGTGTATTATTTTTTACATATGGATACAATTTCAATATTGTAAAAAATACAATAATTAGATTTTACAATAACACTCTTCTACTTACAAAAAAGTTTTGTAATAAATTGAAATAAATATATAATAATAATATTGGTAGTAAATATAATTTGTATACATTTAATAATTAAATAAATTCTGTACACGTATTGAAATAATATAAAAATACTCAATACATTTCTAGAATACATTTTTTAACTACACCTAAGTCTGTTTTTACACGGAGATTGGTTCCAGAAGAAGCCGTGTAAAAAAAAACGTGTAAAAAAAGACATTGATCTTATACAAAAATGGGTGATTAGTTCCTAATCTCTAAAACTTATTAAAATTAGTAAAATACAATAATTTTTAAGAACAAGAATTAAATTAGTGCTATTCACATTTGCTTTGACCAGTAAAAATTGTTTGTACGCGCTAAAGTGGAATTCACTTAAATCTTTAAGCTAGTATTCGCAAATTATCGATACTATCGACGGTTTCAGACTTTTTTCTTTCATAAATACTTTTTTGTGACAATTTTTGACAAAAAAATTTAAGTACATAAAATTTCAAATCGTGCTAAATGGAATAAAATCGTGTAAAAAAATTAAAAATATTGAATTTTCAAACCGTGTTATATCAAAACCGTGTACAAAAAGACCGTGTAAAAACAGACTTAGGTGTATATCTGTTTTATGAATGATATGAATTGTTTAAATTATTAACTAATACTGTTAATTATAATGACTTATTATAAGATTTAAGACTTATTACCAGATTCAAGTCTCATAGTAATAATATTATCTTGCAAAAAAATAAAAGAAACTTTTCGACATACAATCTTAGGTCATCTTCAGTTGCTATAAATTTTTTTTTTGTTACAATTTATTTTTGTTAATCAAGACACTATAAAATTTGAAAAAACTCAGAATATAGATTTGAATAAAATATAATGGCTAATAATAGAGATAATAAATATAAATTACATTTAGTGCTGAAAAATATTTTAGGTTCTCTATATTAAAGGTACTCTATATTGCATTAAATTAACACTGAAGATGATACAGGTATGCATGTAGAAACGTTTAAAAAAAATTCTTAAAATTATTTTGTAAATTATATATCATTCACTTACAGCGTTGTTCTTTCAGATAGTTATTCCAACAATCAATGAATTAATCAGTTAGTTAATTAGTAACAATTAGTTTTTCTATTTCAATAATAATATGACATACGTTGGCAGTTTGCTTTACACGTTGGAACTTGGAACAAAATACAAAACAACGCTGGCACTCATTTGGAATAAACGGTATCTCTCTCTCTACGTGTATGTTTTTAGAGTGTGTGTGTATGTATGTATGGAACTCATTCCATATGTGTGCGAGTATGAAGAAAGTGTTAGGAGTTCTCAAATTGTTAGAGGAAAATAATTAAAACTAATGGTGTATGGCATCGTGCCTCAAGGCAAATTGCTGGAACTTCCCGTACCAAAAATTATTATTTTTTTAAAGATTAATATGTTTGAAACAAATTTACTCTGAAAAAATTAGATTTTTGAGAAACTATAAATTTTTGACAAAAATTTACTTTTTTTGAAAAAAAGATTTTTTGAGGAAAAATTCATTTTGAAATATTTTGGAAATTCTGAACTTTTTTCAAAGCAATCGTACTGCTTTAACTGCATAGAGGCGAAATGTCAAAGCGCGTAAGTCGCCGCGTCGCCGTCTAACAGATAAACATTGGTACGGAACCCATAGGAATGTAAACAAAATTGTTATACTTATTGTTAAAAACTAACATATATTAGGTTGTCAAATATCTCCCTTCCGCCTTTTTGTATAATAAACCAAGAGCAAAAAAGCGGAAGGGAGATATTTGACAACCTAATATGTCTAATGATCATTTTTGACCGCCAAATGGCATTTTTGAAGTAAAACTTCTTTAGGCGCGATATGGGTGTAAAAATTTTTAGGCGCGACACGGGTGTAAATCCGTACAAATGCAACGAAAATGCCAACGTGTAGTTGAACACTACGACGCCGTAAGCGCTGATGTCGCGAGTATCCACTCCCGTCATGTCATGCGTAAGTCGAGCGCTAAACCCTATATGAACTTGCATTAATTGAATCACGTTTTTTTTACAAAAGAAGAGGTTGCTGTATTATGTCCTCATGGAATAAGACTTTTCTTAGAGAATAAATGTGCCATGGAATATAATAAATTTATATTGAATCTCGTTGAAGACAAAATAATATCTACTGCCACGGATATTTATGTAGGTTGCCATGCGACAGATCAACAATCATACATTCGTCAGCAGTTTCAAAAAAATCGGTTATTGATACCGGGGCTTTGCCGTATGAAATAATTTTAGTTCTGAATAAATTTTACATAATAACAACTAATATTGATGTAAGTGATGGCTTAGCTAATGGTTGTGTAGGAAAATTAGTGTACATAGAACGTGGCGATAATGATGAACTTCTACGTTTATGGTTTGAATTTCCTGGTAAGATAAGTAACAAAATTAGGAAGAAAGCTTCACATCATATTCAAACTCTTAATATCAGTAGGACAGCTGTGCCGATGCTCAGGAGATCTTATTATTATTGATGCTATATGATTATTAAAAGATGATTTTTAAAATTCAAATATGATGTTTTTTTTATTTTTATCTTAATTGCCTACTCATACAATATTAAAAGTTTTACTTCAATCGCGTGTGATCCTTACGCGCACTCTTTTTTTTTTACTTTTTTTTACTAGTTCTTCGAAACCGCTAGACCTGTCTTCATAAAAATTCCGAAATCAGTTTTTCATCTTGTTAATACAAGTAAAATGTTTTTTGAATTATTAAAATCGGATGCTCCGTTCTCTTAAAAACAGAGGTAGCGTTTTTGGCCATATCTTCGGAACGGCTAGACCTGCCTTCGCCAAAAACTAATCAACACGTCTCCTTATCAATACGAATCTAATGTTTTTTGAATTATTCAAATCGCTTCATCCGTGTTTTCGAAATAGTCGACGAAAACTTGTATCCGCACACACACACACGCACACATATATCAATTTTTTCTTAGGTATGTCAAAATGTTCAGAAGGGTTTGAAACGTAAAGATATAAAATATATATAAACGTTTATAATATATATATAAACGTAATAAACATTTTCATTTTCGATTTTTTTGCGATTACTTTAACTTGCCCTACAGGAAGTTAATTACTGGCCTAAGGCAAATTGCTGGAACTGCCGTACAGTAATTAAATATTCGCAAAATAAAGCAATTAATGATCAATAAAAATTTATCAATTAGTATTAACAATTTTTTCAAATATTTCAAAATATATAATATAAATACTGTAAATTTCATTGTTGTATATTATAAATCTAATATAATATAAGTGCTTATATTTGAGCGAAGAACTTTATCTATGTTTTTCTTCAAGAACGAAAACACAATAAACAAACACGATCAACACAAGCAATATGCTTTTTGAATCACCCTAATCGGATGTGCCATTCTCTAATTATTTACATTTTTAGCTCCATATTTCCGAAACTCCTAGATCTTTCATCACAAAAATATAAATTGCCTAAAACTAATCGAAAATGAAAAATTTCATATATAGTAACGTTTCGAATATTTCTGAACGTTTTGCATATCTTAGAAAAAAATGAATGTATGTGTGTGTGTATGCATGTGCGGATACAATTTTTTATTCACTATTTCGAGAGCATAGATCAACCGATTTGATAGATTCAACATACATTCGAATACTATTGATGCGAAAGAAAAAAATGCTATTATGGCGGTCGAGACTCAAAATCAGATATTTTTAACAGTCTGGATGAACCAACATAAATCTACATATTTCAAGAAACTTCAAAATTTTCAAAAAAAAAATTCAGTTCCGAAAAAGTCTCCAAGTTTTCAAAAATATCATTATCTTTAAACAAGGCATTTTTTTAATTTGTTTAAATATTCAAATTATTAAAAAATGTTAAAAAATTCAAAATTCTCAAAAAAATCAAATTTTTCATTTCTGAACTTTTAAAAATTTTGAATCACGGTATAGAAAGTTGTATTATGACACGATGTCACGAACCTTGAGTTTTCGAAATTGTTTAAAGTGCTGAATGATGACACACATGCAGTGTCGAGTCGTACATTTTATTTAGCCTATTTGACTGCAAACAAGCATTTTAGGAATATGTTCCAATGTCGAACATAAATAAATCTAAATTTGTATTTATTTTTGAATTTTTTAAAAAACAGTTTTAGAATCCGTGACCATCTCCTCGCACTTGTCTACATTGATAACTGTATCTCTCGTTCAGGTTGTTTTATTTTATTTTTATTCCATTTTGCATACGCGAGCAACTTTTACGCTTTAATTGTTGCCTCCAATTACATTACATACTATTTACAATTAATAAAATACATAAAAAATATTTTTTTGCCGAAATAATATTCGAAAACGAACAATTTACTTATTCAATTGAATGTTTTTGTACTTGGCGAAGATATGAATCGAAATCGTTTATTTATAACTTTTTTACAACGTAGTTATATGTATGTTGTTTTTGTATTTATTGTATATTTTATAAATATTATTTGTAAGGTGTGTTTTATATTTTCAGGAGCATTTAATATGTAATCCGACTGTCAAAGTAACTTTCAGCTGATATCAGAAAGCTATGGTTGAAGGAGAAATATTTATTTGATAATAAATTAATACATATTCATTCAAAAATGTACTTTCGTACTATTACTATTATGTACTCATAGTACTATTATGTATTAGTAGTACTATTACTATTGTATACACGCAGGGGCGTAGCGTGCCTTAGCGGAGCCCCGTATCAAAATTTGTTTGGGGGCCCCCTCATGAAGAAATTTTTTTTCATAAAATATAAAAATACATGAATTTAAAAGAATATTTATTTATCATTCTAATTGTTTATTTATCTAATTCTCTCTAATTTTCTAAATTTTTTACAAATGATCTCAGATACTTACTCTGCCTTTTTTGGAAAACTGAATCATTTAGTGACTTTAAATTTTATAAAGTTTTTGTCTCTAGAAACATGTCTAGTAGATGTTTCAGTCTTGAAGTGTTTACGTAATTTTTTATTTGTTTTAATTTTAATCATTTCATTTAAGAGCAGTTAACTTAGCAATTGCGATTGTTTCTTAAATTTTTGTATTCAAACCTATTTCTTGAACCATCAATTGGTCATGATCATATGAGATATATTTACAGTATTTCTTCACAGTAATTCAGTCGACAGTAAACGTTGCCGTAAACGTTTATTAAGTAATTCTCGATTTCAATAAGGCAAATGTCACTACTCAAGTCGCAAAGGTTTAGAAGTCTTTGTTTGATTTGTGAAATTAATTTATCCAAACAGCAATAGTATATATTAAAATAAAATTTTGGGTCTAAAATTCTCTCATCTTGTGATAACTCATCATAATAACACTTCATTATCTTTTGTCTTTTGTTCTTTAAAATAGTTATTGCAATCCATCTTTTTTGCAAATTATTTGGATTAATTTTGCAAACCAATTCAATATATTTTTATGTCTTAATTTTTATAGTCTATTCAAAGGATTACTTAATAAAATACTAGCTTTTTGTAAGTCATTACTGGCATGTTGTAGAGTTTCAGAAATGAAACTAATAATTTGAAACAGTGAAGAAAGTAATCTGAAAATGATTTAGTTGATCATATTTATCAGAATATTATCATATTTATCAGAATATATCTATTAAACTTATGCGTCATGCAGACAATTCAGGTAGCAACAAAAACAAATATAAAAATATTTTAAATATAACTATAAAAATTCCAAATTCCAATTTTATATGAAGAATTTATAAACTGGATTAGTTTTATAGATTTGTTCATATCTGCACAAGAAGATTAACTTATCGGATGAGCAAAAGCTTTACTAATTGAATTGATTGCTAGAGCTTGCAAAAATGTTGCAGCAGAAATAAATTCTTTTAAAGAGTTAGCTTACAAGTTTAAATTCAATACCTATCGAAAACAAAAGGAAATGCAAACCACGTTAAAATTATTAAATTATTTGAATAATTGTTGTTTTGCTTTCTGTTTGCGCTCGTTGGGGGCCCCCCTGGCTCGGGGGCCCCGTATTTTTGATACGGCTGATACGGCGGTAGTTACGCCCCTGTATACACGTATTACTATTATTTACTCATAGTACTATTTGTCAGGTGTTGTACTATTACTATTATGTACACGTAGTACTATTGTGTACTCGTAGTACTATTACTATTATGTACTCGTAGTACTATTGTGTACTCCTAGTACTATTACTATTATCTACTCGTACTAGTATTATGTCATGAATGAATGAATTATTTTGAATTACCCTCCTTCATTCACAATCTCCTTGTCAGACTAACACAATGGCGCACGCCCCGGCCGTGTTCGCCCTGAAGTTTCGCACAAACGGCAGCACAAACGTTAGTTAGCACAATTTTTTCGCCCGCTGCGCTGTTTATTATTCGTTCTCTCTCAAAATACAAAAATAAATCCAATCTATTGCGTATTAATTTCATTTTAATGTTTTCAAGGAATGCTCTCCGTGATGCAGCAACCCTTTACGTGTTTCATGGTAAGCAGACATCATTTTAAACCAATTCAGAATGCAAAATATCGAATCTTTCCATATATAACCTCAAATCTGTAACATCTCAAATCTTTGACAGGACGTTGAAAGTTCGAGAACTTACATCGATGATCTCTATTCGGACGATTTGGAGAAATGTCTCGATGCGATGGTCTCGTTGAAGAACTCGGTTATTGGGAGCAATCGACAGAAGGGCTCGATTATTGCCCGGGGAGTCGTTCCGAGGATAATGCAACTTTTGGCGGACTCGCAACATGAAGCTCTCAAATTGGAAGCAGCTGTCACTCTGTGTAAATAGATTGATATTTATTTGATTCGGTGTCTTTTCGGCATGATTTTGTAATGGAAATATTGGCAGGCACTTAGAATTGATCATTCGTTGATTCTATATTGATAGAATTGCCAATGATTTGTAAATGATTTGAATCAGACACTTGATATGCGATAAGGTTTACATATATTATCATAAGCAGAAGTAATTTAACTACATGTTTGTAGATGAATAAGTGCTAAAAACTGAGTAATCGAAAATTACAAATTTTCAATCATTTCAAATAATAATTGTTCTATAGTCTTATAGTTAATTGCAAAACATACACTTGTATTACTATCACCAAACTATTACATTAGCATTGAATCCAAGCTATTAATAACTGTTAAACTACATATATGAAACAGTCACGAGAATTTAAAAACATACATATATAACTATGTATTCAGATGTTGAAGTTCAAAAATTTTATGAAGCTTTATCATCGAATGTTTCAGAATAAATGATGGTAATAAATTTGTTATCCTTACATTCAGTTTTTAACAATATTTGAAAATTGGTCTAGGATTAATTTCTAGTCTATCGGCGAATGAAATTGCTGGCAAAAAATCTTCTACCTGGCAAATTCTTTGTATTTAATTAGGATTATGCTCATTTTTTAATATTTTGCGTAAATGTCAAAATTTATCCAATAAATAACTTAAAATTGATTTACTAGTTCTTTCCAAGTTTAAGAACAGGCTTTTTGTAATTTTTAATCAATAAGAATTAAAGGATAAAACTTAACTGAAATCTTTAACTTTTTCTTTAAATTTAAGATTTATATTAACACAATTAGATTCATCGTGCATTTTATTTTCATCAGAAGCATCTAAAAAATGTAATTAATTTCAAATTTGAAACAATATATTATTAAAGCAATTTGTCATATTATTATAAATAATTTTTTTTGTAATTATTTAATTAAAATTTAAATTGTTAGGTTTAAAGACAGTTTTTGTTTCATATTTGTGTTATTCTTTTTACTGTGATGGTTTAATCTTAAAATATAGGTTTGCAAATTGTCAATTTGATATAATTGTTTAGATAAATATTTATACAAAAATCTCTTATTTATCTTTGTTTTGAGTTGAACTTTTAAACGTTTGTTCTTGACCTTCAACTTCTTGCACAATTTGTATTTGTAATTTTTAGATTATTATTATTTAATAGGTTAAATAAATTTAATTTAATCTGGGAGGTCAATACAGATATTTTGAAGGCATAATAAATCATACATTTTAATACTAATAATAAAAAATAGTATAATAACTTTTTTTTAAACAACAAAGAAACAAACATATACCATTTACATAGTATGTATTTTTTTCCTCTCAGGTTCATTAGCCAAAGGAAGTCCTGAGCATGTACAAGCCCTGGTCGACTCTGGTTGTGTTCAACTTCTACTAAATGTGATCTCAACTGTGAATCGTGATAAACTTATCGAGACCTGTCTGAGTGCATTGAGGTCCCTGTACAGTCACAAGGCGACTCCGGTAGAACTCTTGCAAGATGGCAAAAATATTCTTGAGTTGCTCGTCAGATTAGCTGGACCTGAGAGCTCGGTGACCACTCAGGCCTGTGTTGCTAGTTTGTTGAATGCAAACTGCAGAAATCATAATGGACAGGTAGTAATAGATATTGTATTAGATTACTTTTTTATGATTTGAATCATATGTTTTATTTTTATTTTGTGGCATTTGTTGAGTAAATTAATTAATCAACACATTTTTTAATTAATTTAGAACGTGTTATGGAAATTAGGAACCTGTCAAGTGTTAGCACGTCTGATAGCAACACCATACTCAATCGTCCAGATACCAGCATTGTCCTGCCTAGCCTCAATGATCTACAACAATCCAACTATAGCTCTAGCAGTCTACAATTCTAGGTAAATCAAACTCAATGATCATAATAACAGTTTATAAAACTAATTTATTTCCCATTTTCTAGTCATAATGAAACACGTTTACCTGAATTACTGGTGCGTCTAACCTCACGCTCACAGCCTCCTGATATTCAACTACGTGCTGCAAGGTGCCTGTCTTTGTTACACAGAAGCGGAGCACTTTCTGCAAGCGATAAAGGTGTGGCCTATGGGGCTTTACCATGCTTGGTCCGATTGTGTGCTCCTGATAAAGAAATCAGCTTAGAAATCAGAGCGAGGGCTGCAGAGTCTTTAGCATACCTTGCAGAGGTAATGGAGTAAAAGACACAGTTTTTGTATTTTTTGTATATTTAACTTCCCATAGGGCAAGTTATAGTAATCGCAAAAAAATCAAAAATGAAAATTTTTATATATCTTTACGTTTCAGAGGTTTCTGAATATTTTGGCATACCTTAGAAAAAATGGATGTATGTGTGTGTGTGTGTGTGTGTGTGTGTGTGTGTGTGTGTATGTATGTATGTATGTATGTATGTATGTATGTATGTGTGTGTGTGTATGTATGTGCGGATACAAATTTTCGTCGACGATTTCGGGAACACAGATCAACCGATTTGAATAGTTCAAAAAACATTCGATTCGTATTGATAAGGAGACGTGCTGATTAGTTTTTGGCGAAGGCAGATCTAGCCGTTCCGAAGATACGGGGCAAAAAGTGCCGAAAACGGTAACTCCGTTTTTAAGAGAACGGAACGTCCGATTTGAATAATTCAAAAAACATTTCACTTGTATTGACAAGATGAAGAATCGATAAAATTTTCATGAAGGTAGGTCTAGCGGTTTCGGAGATATGGAGGAAAAAGTAAAAAAATGAGCCATTTGGCGGTCAAAAATGATCATTAGACATATGCACATCAAATTATCAGATATTTTATAGAGATTTTACCAATAAGTATACATTTTGTTAACATTCCTATGGGTTCCGTACCAATGCTTATGCGTTAGACAGCGACGCGGGGCTCACGCGCTTTATATTTTGTCCCTATGCAGTTAAAGCAGTACGATTGCTTTGAAAAGAAAGTTCAGATCTTCCACAATATGTCAAAATAAAGAAAAAAAAATTTTTTCAAAAAAGAAAATTAAAAAAAAATTTTTTTTTTTTTTAAATTTTTTTCAAAAAAAAGTAATTTTTTGTCCAATTTATAGTTTCTCAAAAATCTTATTTTTTCAAAGTAAATTTTTTTCAAAAATGTTAATCGTTTTTAAAAAATAATAATTTTTGGTACGGGAAGTTCCAGCAATTTGCCTTAAGGCACGATGCCTTAATTGCCTTAAGACAGAATTCCACTTACAGCTAGTTTTTTATTACTTTTAGGTGAATACTTCCCTGCAAAGGATAGCAGCAATCTCAAACCATCTCATAGCATCTCTGGCCGATTTGCTGAATTCGGGGGACCCCCGAGGTAAGCAAGCAGCGTTTCGTTGTTTTGCGTCGTTGGGGGCCAACGATGAAGACATTCGAAGAGGATTATTGAAATTGAAGGTTTAATGGATCATGTACTGAGTGGACTGGAAGGGACTTCATCAGATAGTGAAAAGAATGGAGGTGATGATAAGAAAGAATCGGTTGAGAAGAATCTTATGCTTGATAAGAAGGATAAGAATTATATTGAAGGATTTGGAGGCGAGGATGACGTTTGCAATAAAGATGCGGTAAATAGATAAATATATAATTCTACTAAATTTGGTTTTTGTTTTAGTTAAATATTTGTATTATTATCAGGTTCGTCTAGCTGCTGTTAAATGTCTATTATCTTTATCAAGATCCGTCCAACAACTAAGAACTACATTTCAGGTTTGTATTCACATTATCGCATTAAATGTCGTTTATATAAGCAATTAAATTTATTTCCTTTATTAGGACCATTCTGTTTGGAGGCCTTTAATGTCAGTTCTGACTTCTTCTCATTTTGATAGCAATTCATCTTCATCCTCATCAAATTCATTTTCGAATACCACGTCGCCTGAATTATTAACAGTGACCACTTCGACTCTGTGCAACTTATTATTAGAATTCAGTCCTGCGAAAGAACCCATGCTGGAATGTGGAGCCCTGGAACTATTATGTGAACTAACCACTCGACAAGAGGCTCCTTTGAGGCTTAATGGTGTCTGGGCCTTGATGAATATCGCTTTTCAGGTAATAAAGGAGTGAAAAAAATCAATATATATTTAATAGTATTTAAATAAATGTGATATTTTTCTATTCAGGCTGAACAGAAGATGAAAAAGCGAATATTGGCAACTCTTGGAATGCCTCAGATCTTTCGGTTGTTGGAAGATTCTGATACTGAGGTGATTATGAAGACACTTGGTTTGTTGAGGAATCTTCTGTCGCCCAGATCACATATCGATGATATCATGTAAGCAATTATAATAGAATATAATACAAATATGAGTATTACACTTATTAATAGCAATTTGACATATTCTTCAACAAGGCATGTAAACATAGGTTTTTTCAGGGTCACTACTTTTTAATAAGAAAATTGAACAAAAATGAACATTTCAAAAATAAAACTAATATTAAATTTTATTGCATACGTAGAAAATGCAAAGAACGAATTTATTTATGAAGACTTAGAATAAAATTATATTCTTATGAAAATAATAACAGAATAAGTATTTAAGTTATTTTCAAACGATCTACAACCTTTTGATACAACTTCTACTATTTTAGACAGCTCGGAACTATTTTGAATGACTCACAATGATTTTAGGCAATTTACAACTAGTTTACACAATTTACAACTATTTTGGACAACTCCCAACAATTTAATACAATTTGCAACTATTTTAGACAACATACAATTATTTTGACAATTTACAACTAGTTTACACAGTTTATAACTATTTTGAATGACTTAAGTCAAGATACAACTATTTTAAATAACTTACAACTATTTTAGACTTACAACTTTTTAAGACAGTTTGCAAAAACTTTAGACGACTTACAACTAGAAACTTACAACTGTATTAGACAACTTACAACAATTTTAAACAATTTACAGCATTTCCAAACAACTCACAACATTTTTAGACTATCTACAACAGTTTTAGACACTTTACAACAATTTCAGATAATTTACTACATTTTCAGACAATCCACAACATTTTCAGATGATTTACAACGTTTTCAGACAATTTACAACATATTTAGACAATCTACAACATTCTTAGACGATCAACAACATTTTTAGATGATTTACAATATTTTCATACACATTACAACATTTTCAGATGATTTACAACATTTTCAAACAATTTACAACATTTTTAGACAATCTACAAAATTTTTAGATAATCTACAACATTTTCATGCACTTTACAACATTTTCATACACTTTACAACATTTTGAGACGATTTACAACATTTTTATACACATTACAACATTTTCAGATGATTTACAACGATGATTTGCAATATTTTCAGACGATTTACAACTTTATCAGACGAATTACAAGATTTTCATACACTTTACAACATTTTCAGATGATTTACAACATTTTCAGATGATTTACAACATTTTCAGATGATTTACAATATTTTTAGACACCTTACAACTTTATCAGACGAATTACAAGATTTTCATACACTTTACAACATTTTTAGATGATTTACAACATTTTCAGATGATTTACAACATTTTCAGATGATTTACAACATTTTCAGATAATATACTACATTTTCAGGCTATTTACAACATTTTCAGACAATTTACAACATTTTCAGACGATTTACAACATTTTCAGACGATTTACAACATTTTCAGACCATTCATATCATTTTTAGACAATTTACAACATTCTTAGACGATTTACAACATTCTTAGACACATTACAACAATTTCAGATAATCTACAACATAATTAGACAACATACAACATTTTCAGACGATTTACAACATTTTCAGACGATTTACAACATTTTCAGACCATTCATATCATTTTTAGACAATTTACAACATTCTTAGACGATTTACAACATTCTTAGACACATTACAACAATTTCAGATAATCTACAACATAATTAGACAACATACAACATTTTCAGACGATTTACAACATTTTTTACAACATTTTCAGACCATTCATATCATTTTTAGACAATTTACAACATTCTTAGACGATTTACAACATTCTTAGACACATTACAACAATTTCAGATAATCTACAACATAATTAGACAACATACAACATTTTCAGACGATTTGCAATATTTTGAAATGATTTGCAATATTTTGGGACGATTTACAATATTTTTAGACGATTTACAACATTTTCAGACGATTCGCAATATTTTGAGACGATTTACAATATTTTGAGACGATTTACAATATTTTGAGACGATTTACAATATTTTTAGACACCTTACAACATTATCAGACGATTTACAAGATTTTCATACACTTTACAACATTTTCAGATGATTTACAACATTTTTAGACACCTTACAACATTTTGAGACAATCTACAACATTTTTAGACAATTTACAACATTTTTAGACAATTTACAACATTTTTAGACGATTTACAACATTTTCAGATGATTTACAACATTTTCAGACAATCTACAACATTCTTAGACGATCTACAACATTTTTAGACACTTTACAGCATTTCAAGACGATTTACGACATTTTCAAACGATTTACAACATTGTTAGACAAACTTAGACATTTTTATTGCACATTTCTAGTTACCTTCGCAAAACTAGATAAAATTTACAATAATTTCATTTGAATTATGTTACACAAACTCAAAGAACATTATTTCATTTACCCAGGTCGGACTATTCCAACGAGGTCCTCCGTGCAGTCTCCAGAGTTCTCGATGCTGGTCTCAACGTCAACAGCATGGCATCCTCGAGTTCCACCAACAACTCAAACAACAACTCCAGCAATTCGAGCGACGTTCCAATGAATTCCGTCTATCCATCTTCAAACAATAGTATAAGCGAAATAAACAATCACAACAGTACAAGTTTGAATGTGGCCTCTATGAACATAAACAACACAATGTATTCGAATAACACCTTGAATGATATATCGATGAATGATCTATCATCGAGCGATATGTCGAATGACGTGCCGATGTTTACGGGTGGTGCGACTAATTCGATGTTTACACCTAGTTCGATTCAGAAACATGATAATAAGAATTGTTCGGCTATTATTGAGCTGACGGAGCAGGCTCTGTGCATCCTGGGGAATATTTGCGATGGACAGGCTGGTAAAGAGTACGTTATGGCTGATGAGAGGCTTTTGAGGAAGTTGGCTGATTTCATTGTAAGTGGGATAGTTGTAAATAAAATGATACAGCTAGTTCAACTATTTTTAACTTCCCGAAGGAGAAGTTTATGTTTTCATCAAAAAATCCGATTCGCTAATTTTATGTTTTCTCGACGTTTCAAGCCATTCTGAATCGAATGAGACCAAATTGAAGGAAAAAGTATGTGTGTGTGTGTGTATGTATGTGTGTGCGTGTGCACCAACAGATTTTTTGCCGTAAATCGACGTTTTCTCAAAAACGCCTGAACCGATTTCATAAATTTGAAAGCCATTCGATGTATCTCAATGAGGACTATCATTTGTCAGTTTTGTGAGACGATCTGCCGAGCCGTTTCTTTGTAATTTGAAAAAAAGTGTTAAACTTTTCGTCCACATTTAACCTCATACTACCGAACCGATTTTAAAAAGTCAAAAACTGTTCGAAAGATATTAGTTAGGAATGATACTGATTAGTTTTAGGTGAAAATCTACCGAGCCGTTTTTAATTAACTGTTGAAAAAAAAATTCAGTTGATTTTTATGGAACTTTTTTTGGCGATATATACCATGGTCTTATAAAACTTACTGAAATATTACGGCCTTAACAAGTAGTGTAATTGTAAAAATTCATCAAAATTTGAGAAAATGAGTAGTTTTTTTGACGTTAGCTAAAATTAAAATTAGACGATTTACTTGGTATAACGATAGAATACTTGGTCTTAATGAACATACTTAACCATTGAAGTCCCATGGAAACTGGTTCAATTATAAAAATTGTTGATTTTTGAAAATTTGCTTTTAGAAAATACTCCGAGTCAATGTGCTTGTTCGTTTTCAATTATGTGTAATAAATCCACTCGGAATAATTGCAATCACTCATAAATTAATTTATTTTTTTTTGATTAAGTCGATTATTTACACATATCGGGAAGTTCATGTAACTTGCCTCAAGGCTAAATACCAAACCAACTAGTTTATCTGGATATAACACAAGAATCTGGTAGAAATATTACTCCAATTAGTGTGATTAATTTGATTCATTGTTACAGATGCATCCGGAGCCCAAATTCCAGGCTGCTTCATTGTATGCTGTTAGCAACCTGGTTTGGAAGTCTGATCCAGGCTCGGAGAGGCGCCAGGCGAAGCTGCGAGAATTAGGAATTTATAATCTACTTGAGAGGATCGTGACTGACGATGAAGCCATCTTCGATAAGTAAGTCTATTAACATCATTATCTATCTAATCTAGATCATAGGTTTCCAAACTAAATGTTTGGATTTTTTTTAAAAATAAATACATCATGTCTTTTACTAGACCCCTCCTTTTCCCACGTGGTTTTTTGTGATTTTTTTTTGACAACTTGATTAAATATTTAATGTGAAAATACATGCTACTTGTATACATTTATTAATTGAATTTAAAACTAGTGGGGTGGGTGGCATCGTGCCTTAAGGCAAATTGCTGGAACTTCCCGTACCGTAACGAAATGTTCGAGGAATACTGAATGTTTTCAAATAGATTATTATAAATATTGTAACATTGTCTAATATTTATAAGAATTATATAAACTGAATTGCAGAGTTGAAATTATTTGTAAAGTAACTATAGTCAGAATTAAAAATAAAATCTGAATTATTTTTTATATACAAAAAATTAAAAAAAAATTAAAAAAAAAAGGAATTTTTTTTTTCCAAAATTAATTATTTTGTTAAGACAAGCAGAATGTTCTTTGAATCATTTAAATCGGACGCTTAGTTCTCTCAAAAACTGCCATTTTTTACATATTTAGCTCCGTATCTTCGAAATGGCTGGGCCTGCCTTTGCCAAAAACTAATAAACACTTCTCCCAATCATTACTAATTGAATGTTTTTTAGATCATTCAAATCGGATACTCCGTTCTCTCAAAAAGTCGATTTCTATTTTCTGCATTCTTTGCTCCGTATCTCCGAAACGGCTGGACCTGCCTTTGCCAAAAACTAATCAACTCTTTTCCCTATGAACAGGAATCGAATGCTTTTTAAACCATTCAAATCGGTTGATCCGTACGCCCGAAAACGTGGGCGAAAATTTGTATCCATACATACATACACACACACACACACACATCCATTTTTCTGAAGTATGCCAAAATGTTCAGAAACCTTCAAAACGTCGAGAAATGTAAAAATTTTCAATTTACCTTACCCTACGGGAAGTTAATAACAATAAAAAAAAGTTGAATCTTTAATCTCCTAGTTAATGATGTCCATTCTACATCTGTTTTTTGATAGAAGATCAATATTTTACAACTATTAAATCATTTTTTTATCTTTAGTATCCTTACAGCGTAAAGAAATTTGGCAAGTCTTCAAATAGTCAACAAATTTGGTTTTTACAAGCGCAACCACATCCACAACTACTCGACCACAAATCGAATGCTTACACATTTTTATAAAAATGAATTATATTTTTAATTACTTCTTAGTTCTATTTGTAAATATATTGTATATGACCTTATACTATAGATAGTATAATATAAATAAATAGATATTAACATGCTCTATTGTGGACCCCCATTTTCATTTTGTGGAGCCCGAAATTTTATTTTTGGGTGTCCATGTGGACTTCTTTAGGATTCATTGATCTCTAGATATAGACGAGTTAATAAATAAACAGGACAAATTAGAAAGTCTTTAGAAACAGCTCTGATTTTGTTCATTTTTTAAATAAAAACAAAAACTAATGTTGTATGGGATCGTGCTTTAAAGCAAATTGCTGGACTTTCCGTCCTGAAAATTGGAGTTTTAAAGATACCTTCAAAATTTTTTGAAAACTTCGAAAAAAATAGTTTTTTAGAATTGTGAAATATTTGAAAAAAATTAATCGTCTAATGATCATTTTTGATTACGAAATGGCGTTTTTTTTTACTACATCTCGGAAACCGCTAGATCTGCCTACGCAAAAATTTAAACGGTACTTTATTTTCCCGATCCGTGTTCCCCAAATCGTCGACGAAAATTTGTGTCCGCACAAACACACACACATCCATTTTTTCTAAAGTATGCCAAAATGTTCAGAAACCTCTGAAACGTAAATATATATAAAAATTTTCGTTTTCGATTTTTTTTGCAATTACTATAACTTGCCCTACGGGAAGTCAAATAATAATTTAATTCAAAGAACACCCAAAAACTTATCTTTTTGTATAAATAACAAACATCTTGTTTAAACAATAAAAAAAAAAAAATTTACTTCAGGAAATATTTTTGAGTTTGAATAATATTAAAAAAATACATATAAAAATTATGAAAAATGAACAAAATCGGAGCTGTTACTGAGGATATTCTGCAAAAAAACCCTTATTGACTCAATTAATATAGTAAAACCCTGTTAATAAGATTTTTCATAGACTTTGAGAAAGAGTATTGTGCGATATAGGGAAAATAACGTAAATATAATAAATGATATTTTTATAAATTATATATATATATTAAAAGCTTAATAGTGCTATTGGCTATCAACTTGCATTTGATAAGTTTTGGACAAAATTTTGATAATTTTTAACGAATTGGTTCAGAATTTCAGTCATAGGAATGGAAGATCTACATACAAACATCACTGGATGTTTTTTGCTAAATAAATTTTTTTTTGCTGTTTTCTTAAATGCTCTAGACTAGGTAGATAATAATTAGTAAGATTATTTTCTATTTCTTTTAGTTATTTTATAGACAGTTTTGTTTTACTCATTCAACTCTTTCTTTCACTTTCACCCATATTTTGTTCTAAACGAAACAGCGTTAAAAGGGGTATTACTCTACTTTTACTTTTTTATTTATTAATCTTGATTGAAAATGAAATATTTAATGAAAGCAATTAAATTTGATATATTTATTTGTTTTCAGGGTAAAAAGTACCATCACGCAGTTCGAGTCTTAAGCTAGAAAAAATAAATAGCACAAATTTCTGGAAATTTGGATTAAGATATTTAACTTTATTTGATGTGGATATCAAATTATTTATGTAACTAGGTATTTGACAAATTTAGTATTGCATCGAGGATTCATCAAAAGAACTTAATTATCAACTCAAAAACTATTGAGATTATGTTAAACAATTTTGAGCTACTTTTCCTCATCATTTCAATTTCGATGTTGTCAAATACCTTCATGCACTCATTAATTCACCATTTGAAAAGTGCTAGTACATTTCTACCAAAAACACGAGGAAAGAGGTAAGACATTTTAGTGTTTTTCAAACTTAACTATTAAGTAGATTAATAAAAGATTCTAAATTCAACTGAAATTAATACTAGTTACCTTATGATTTCTGTAAATAATAATATATATGAGAGTTTGTACAAAAAACGAAAGATTATTAGATTAATTAATACTACTTGCATGTGTAATTGTATTATTTATGATGATAACGACGACGATGATGATGATATGAAGCCATGTGATTTTAATGAGAATAAATTTGAATTTGCAAATTGTAGTTGATGATGTTCAATGGTTTATATATTTTTTAGTTAGATTTTATTATGTATTTCAGGAATTATAAATCCATATAAATGAAATTCGTTTTGCTTTCTTGTTAAATTTTATTAAATATTACATATTATTATATAAATAATATTATGTGATTGTTCATAAATGTATCCTTACACATTATGGCTGCGAGAAAGTGTATGGACACATAATGATGCATATATTTAGAAGATCATTTTGTTTATCGAGTATCTGATGATTAAAAATACAGATTTTAACATTAAAAACAATTAATTGTAACTAATTAAATTATTAAGTAAAGAGAAATACATTTAAAACATTTAATTAGGGGAAGTTAAATTTATATAAATATATTTTTAATAGAATAACTCGAAGATTTAAATAAACCATTAATTATTTTTGTCTAAGTAATCTTCGTATAAATAATCTTGTGATTTAGATACTCGATGTAAACATATATTTATATAAACAATATAAATCACAACACTTTAATGAAATACTTTCATGAACTATTATTTCAATTATATAAATTTATATAAAGTTCTTATAACATTATCTATGTGCAAAGCATAAGCAAAATTATTTAAAAAATTATATTACATATAACTTATCAACAAATTATAAAATAACTTATAAAATATAAATGCATAAAAAATCACAGAAGAGTAAAAATTGGAATGACTAGAATTACAAATTTATTCAAAATCAAAATTTGATTTAGTTGTAAAAGATTTAGATGTAAAAAAAAACACGTGCAACTAGATTTTTGATATTAAATGAAGTTCTAAATAAATAAAATACCAATATATATATTATAAACTTATAAAATACATTAAAAAAGTATAAAAAAAACCACAAAAGAATACAATGTGGAATGACTAGGACCTTATCACAGAGTAAAACTAAAAGATAAATAAATTTTAAATCTAAATAAGCAAAATTATTTAAAAAATTATATCACATATAACTTATCAACCAATTATAAAATAACTTATAAAATATATAGAAAAACAAATAAGGATGCCTAACCAAAATCTAGCAAGACACTCAAAGGTAATCCACATACAATAATAATACCAAAATCAATATTAATAACATTTTCTATCTTCAAATTATAATCAGGTGATCCTTCTCATCAAGTCCGATGGCTGCACTCTGAAGATTCCATTAAAGAGTCTGGATTGGACAAAGGATCCAAATCCGAGAACAGTTTCAACCAGTTTGACATAGAAGAAGTCTTCTGTTTATTTTGATCATGCTTTGTGGATTTTGCTGATGATTGATTTGGTGCATTTGATGAATTGGACAAAATTCGGGAAAGAATATCATCATTCAAGTCATCTGAGGCGGAATTTGGTGGATCCATGAGATTTCCTGGATTGGTGGATAGTAGACTCTGGAAATAAAATGTAAGTTAACTATAAATATAATCGTGGTTGTATGTGGAAACTTACCTCGAAAAAATCAGTAGTCATGTTATCATGTTGTAACTTTTGGTCTTCTTGTTTTCCTTCTAGTAGTCCAAGTAAATCAAAGTTTATACTTGTCTCATTTGATGTGTTAATTATATCAGATGTGATGCCCAATAGATCTTCAGCTTGTTTCGAAAAGCAGTTTTCATTAATAAGGTTTTCAGATTGTTTTATGTTGCCATTGTTTGGTGTTTCGTTTTTGACTTCATCTGTGTATTCGTCCTGGCAAACAAAATATGGTTATACAAGAAAAAAGTAATTGAATTTAAAGTAGTTGCTTTCTATTTTTTTACCTGGAAAAACAGCAACTGATCATCATCAGCAAATTTCTCCTTCTCATCGCTCTTTTCCTCAATTTCAGTCTCCTCCGGTGTTTCTTTTAATTCTTTCAAAACACAAAAATCATATTTTGGTTCTGAATTCAAACTTATCAATGCAGAATGTAAGGTTTGTGAGCACTTTGAGAAAAAAGTGAGTAGAGATGATTGATAGGGTATCAGGGCGTGAGAGAACATATTGCAGCGAGCTGCTGCAAGCAGATCTACTTTTTCTAAACAATCTAGAGTCAGGCGGTCAAAACGGATCTTGGATTGTCTGGTTTGATTCTGAGCCTTGAAAAATAAAACATTGTTGGAATATTAGTATAATGATTCATGATTTATGAATAATATAATAAACAACTTCAAGAATGCATTGTTAAATGCAATTTTGTTATTCAACAAATTCCAATGACTAATTGAAGGTCTTCATATAATTTTGTTTACTAATTAGCTTATAAATCAATATTTTAAATACCAATACAATTACTTACAACATTTATTATTACCTTTCGAAATTTTTCCAGTCCACGTCCAGTATCAGGATCTAGTTGAGCACTAACAGCTTTCATCCATTTCAAATCAGCCCTGTATTCAGTTCTAGCCCTCTCCATAGCACCTAGAGTACTTCGAGTATCCTGGACAGCTCTTGCTTTAAAGGTATCGACTTCTTGATGCAATCTCATAAGGGGATCCCTCAGTTGCATCCTTTGCTGGCCTTGGTAACACAAAGCCTTACCTAGAAAGGATAAAAATCAATAGTGGAAATGATAATGGTGGAATGTACTTCCTTTACCTGATGAAGACATATGCTTCCCGACACTATCATGACTTTTGGAGGCTTCTTTTAGAAAATACCCTAAAGAATTCTCTTCCTGGGCTAGAACACATAGCCTTTCCTGGTATTGTTCAAGTACTCTTTGTAAAACCGAGCAGCTCTCGGCGATTGAACGAAACAGTTCTAATTTTGCGTCCAATTCAGCGTCTGATGCGACGATGCATTCATCTTCTTTGCCGCCGAGTTTTCGAAGGACGGTCTGTTTGGTCACCCAATATTGATGCTGCATATCCATTAAGGACATTTTAGAAGGATTTGCTTTGTTTACAATTTATAAAAATAAATATCACAACAATTTGGATGACATTTGTGTATTGTAAATGTCATTGTATGAAAGTGACAGCTGAAACTTGTGGGTTGGTGAACCTGTATCATTGGTCCAGGTGTTGTAAAAGGATAATCGAATATTTTTATTTATATGAAAATGCAACTAGAAATATTATGTAATCATATAATATTATATTATTATATAATATTAAAATTTAAAAAAAAATGGAAACAATCTTATTATTTACAGGTAAAAAGGATTCAGAAAACAATTACCATTTCTATTGTGTTTTGGTTATGTACACACTTTGACAACCTTTCAATCTCCTTTATCCTTTTTCGCCTGTTGGTACCCCTCGGCCGTGTGCATTGAACTCGTTTCACGGCTTCTGTCCCCTACTTCGCTCCGAATACAAAACGTAATGGCCGCGTCGGATCTCAATCAGTTTTGTTGCTAAAACAAAAAAAATAAATACACAAGTTATGTATGTTTTAATTAGGTGAAAGTGCTCCCCAGTGTTAAATTCAGGTGCTCCGGTGATTCTGCCACTATGTACTGCTCCGTGGAGAGCGCCCAGCAGACAAAAAATCCGGTCAAAGAGGGTAAGTCTAGAATTTTTAATGCTAATACTTATGGGGGGTATTGTCAAAAGAATTTGGGGCAGCAGAAAGGAATTGATATGATGTGATTAATTATTTATGGGGGTTGTTTTGGGTCAAAAAGTTTGTTGAAGATTTTGCATGCGGTGTTCATGCGTTTTTGAATGAAATATGAGATGTTGGGAAAAGTGTTGACATGTACATTTTTGTAAAGAACAATTACATTTGTTGATTGAATACAAAGTCAGTGATTATTTGAAAAATGTTATTATTCGTGCCTTCCTGTCTGCATTTTTTAAAGTATGATGTATGTAGGGTGAAATAATCAAATAATCTTTCATATATCTTTAGGCATTTAGATTTGTTATTATGTTTCCTAGGGTCCTCATAATTTTCATAAGATTCTGTTTGAGTTGCAAAAAACTTCATAAATAATTTTACTTTAATTATAGAAATTTGCTTTATTATATTTAGCAGTATATAAATTACCAGAAAATTTCATTCAAAGTGCATTAAATTAAATTTTTATTGTAAACATATATTTTTTCAAAGTTTTGTAGACAGATAATTTTTATTTGTTTCTAAATATCCCTTTATTGTCTTTCATGTCCAAAATTTTTACTAAAATTTATACAACAAATTGTACCTATTTTCTCTATAAAACTTGTAAATTTGTGGAAATTCTATACATTTTGCTGTAATGTTTCCAAATATTGTATGAAATGTATTTGCTTATTCATTTTACAATATTATCTTCCATAATTTTTATAGAATATAAAATTATTATCATTTAAATTCTTTCACCTTTTTCCAATATAAAATTCTTTCATTTTAGAGGGAGATTATAAGCTCATTAAAAAATAATTACTGATATGCAAAAATTGTGAAAATTTAAAATTAATTTATTATCAAAGTTAAAGCCTGGTCCAGGATCATTTAAACTTGTTTTTATTGAAGTTCCATTATTTTTCCAAAAATTGTATAAGAAATTTACACATTTCTTATCTTTATACATATTTATGATTTAAATTCTATTACCTTTATAGAATATAAAATTGTGCCACATTTATAGAGATGATAATATTATATCATATTTATAAAATATAATATTCTATAATAGTCCAAGTCTTGATAAAAAAAATCATTAGAGCTTTTTTGGATTATTTCAATAAAAAAATTGGTCTTATTTTATCAAAATTTATAAAACTATATCAAAATTCCCAAAATTTTATTTTCACTTGGAAACTTATTTGGGTCAAGTTAAAAGTGATATTCATACTGCTTGATATCAGGTTGGTCGTAGAGAGGAATTTTTACCTGTTACTTTGTGGGTGCTCTTCAGGACTATCCAAAGAAATTAAAAAATCTAGGAAAACTGATGAGTTTGTCATTATTTTCAATAGGAAACATATTTGGCTCAATATTTTCAAGTTAAAACTGATATTT